CCATGTCAGATGTGTAGATTGAAAATAGCAAAGGAGATAAAATTGAACCTTGAGGAACTCCTCTGTTTATAGGTTTAAAATCGGTTTTGTAAATAGCGGAATCATTTGCTAACATAACACAGGTTGAACGGTTGCTTAAGTATGTTTTTATTAGATTTACCTAGCTCTGCGAAAACCCCTGGTAATGTAACTTAGCTAGTAACATTTCATGATTCAGAGTGTCGAACGCTTTACTAAAATCGAGGAGAACCATGCACGTACTATTTTTTTGTTCTTGATGATGTCTGATATCATCCATGATAATCGGGCCTTAGAGATATTGAGCTGCATCAGAGCTTCAGAAGTCGCGAGTACCTCTTACAGAGTTGTCTTTATATCAGTACGAAGCACGTCCGCCACTGACCACCGCCGACTCATGGTGCAAAGTCTTCTTCGGCCACGACCTTGCAAGGATACTACGTGTGACTAAGAAGTGACCGTTGTCGGCACGACGTTGCTCGACGGGGCACGCGGGGTTTTGTGGAATGCCCGCTCCATTCCACGGCTGATGCTGCAGTTCACTTTCCAAGAAAGGTGAACTTTCAATTAGCGAATCAAGCGTATGACCTTTTACCTTCCAGATTATGACCATCATTAGCCGGGTTATTTATTCAGTCGTGTCTCAGGCGGATCGTAAAAAATGCTGCACAACTTGTATAAAAAGTAATATTCTATATACTGATGTAAAAATATTACCCTTGTTGAAAAAACATCTGAATCATATGGAATTTTGCTGTGCGATATTAAGTGTGCGAAGCATTTTCAATAACAAGTTGCATGATGACCGTAAGCTACGAGCCCCTTCCCACTTCAGTTGGCCCACTTCAAGATTTGAACCAAAATATGCCTTTATAAACTAAACATGGCGAAACTATTTACCTCTAAAACAATTTGGTTTCTCAAAAACATTTTAGATACACTCTAGTCGTAAAAATACATATTTGAAATCGCTTAGAATTATAACTAATAGAACATCTGAACAAATAAACAATGTGCGAATAAATGCGCGAAGTTATTAAAGCAACAATTGAAAGATTACCATTGGGTAACATCACCTTTATTTTTTATTACGGCTGAAATTCTTTGGGGCATAGTGTTAATCAAGTTTTGACAAAAATTTGGTGTAGAACAATCCCATATTTCTTGAAGCTTTTGTCTCAATTCGGTGATTGTACAAGCAGGATATTGTCGTAGAACCTTTTTAATCTCGTGCCACAAAGTTTCAATAGGTGACAGATCTGGACTGCTAGAAAGCCATTTCAAAAGTGGTACATTATTTTCTTCCATGCATTTTATAGCCTTTTTTGAGGTATGGCACGCTGCACCATCTTGCTGCAACACAAAATCTTGGCCGGATGTCAAGCATTCTTCCATCAGTGGTAAAAGCGATTCTTCTAAAATTGCCAAATATTTGTTTGTATCCACATTTCCATCAATAAAATGAAGTTTTCCTACTCCTTTTAATAACATACTGCCCCAGACAATAACGGATGCTGGAAATTTCACTTTTCTCTTCAGACAGTCAACGTGGAATGCTTAATTTTTTTGCGAATACACGTTCTTATCAGTATCAAAAAAAATTCCTGGTATTTTTTTTTGCGCAGTTGTCTGGTACAACATTTGCTATAATAAATTATTAAGGCGTGTTCTAATATCACGACGATGAACGCAAAATACAGATATTAATTTTTCAATTTATTATTGATTTCTGTATGACTTTTATTACATTTTTTTTTGAGGAATCAACTTCTTTCGTAACAGTGCATATGTGGTTAAAATTTGTCGGATAAGTTGTGAAACACCCTGTATAGGTCAAGCTGGCCAATAGATGGCTAACCATGGACAGCTGCTTCGCGCTATTTGGCATCTCATCAGCATAGTGTCGGCTTGGTCTCAGGTATGACAATGGACAAAGATGAGTAACTATCCTCCATCCAGGATATAATGTCTATGGAAATAAGTCAGCATCTACTATCAAAATCGAGAGTGATAACATAGGCTGTCTGTTAGTACTGTATACCAGTACGCGTTTGACAACTGACTCACCACTGTGGCCGCTAGATGCCGTAGATTCTTGTCGTATAACAGATGCGCCGTTGAACAAACTAGTAATATAGCTTTCGCCCGTATGACCACAGACGTACAATCATGGACAGGTGTTTCGTGCCGTTGAGGTCCAGAAATGTAGTTTTATTTTCTACTAGAGGCTCTCCCGGGCTTCGTGTAAAATAGAACATTTTCGTATGCCGACAAGTTAAAACTAAAGCACAACAAATTCTTTCTGGTTGGGGATCGAGCTCCAATCTACCCAGTACTAAGCAGTCGCTGTCACTATTTGGGTACTAACGGGTTGTGTATGTAAAAATAATCGGTTATTGTGACTTGAGTATTAGAATTAGGCATACAGCCTCACTGCCTTTTTGTGAATCATGATGAGTACTATAAACATCTATTACTTTTTTCATGTAGCATCAATAGATTGTGTAGCAAACACTTTTTATAGTAGGCATATTTTTGATATCTTGGTTCACAGTCAAATCAGACAAAACTCCAATAGACTATTTGAACAAATCTTCCGCACGAATCCCTCTGTACATTGGTGAAAATGGTATCAAAATCTGCTGGATACTTTTTGAGTGTGTCGTGCAAATTGACGAACTTTGTAATATATGCTTTTCCTTGGATGGACGCATGCGGCGTTCAGACATTTCTATTACGTTTTAGGGGCAAGTGTGTGAAAAAATCTATATGTGAAGTATGACTGATAGGTGCGAGAGTTATCGGCACGGGTATCACGTATCTTGAAAAGTGACCTTATGCCGATTTTATTTGACATTATGCTGTTTTTTTTGACATTATGTAGGCTTTTTACAAGATATAGTGGATACCAAATAAAATCCGATGCACGTCATAGGTGATGTCATTCATAAAAACCATGGTTACCAACAGTTGACTACATTCAATGTGACATTTCTACTTGAAGTTTAAATTTCCCCGTCTCGATTCGGTTGGTAGTGCCGTGCAGAGAAATGTGAGGTTGCCACTTCTCATTTGTTGACATCAGTTGCCTTTGTCCTTTTGTCGTACTATTAGTTCTTTATTGTTTAGTTTGTGAGTTTTGCGCTATTTAAAAATTGTTCTTTTCAGAACTACAGTTACTGTGAAGTGGTGTGAAGTATCCAAAATGCCAAAACAACTTAACAGTCGGTGTAAAGAGCTCATATCATGCTTATTAGAATACTTCGAACGGGAAAGGGATAATAATGGCCCACTTTTGCCTTTAACTGCTGTAAGGGAGGTGAGTTTACGCTTGTTGATAGCATAAGTAATAGGAACATTAAGGTTAATCTTCTTTTTCTTATTTTTAGCGTGTAGCAGCAGCATTGAAATTAAATGTGTCTACTATAAGTGGTATTTCACAGGCAGTCAAAAATAAAGAAGTTTTACAATCGCCTCCTAAAAAACGATGTACTCCAAAGAGAGTCACTAATATTTCAAGGCTCAATACAAGTGGTATTCGTAATACTATTTATAACATGTATGAAAACAGTAAGGTGCCCAACAAACATATGTTGAATTAGAGAATGTATAATTGTTTTTTTGTAGAACAACATGTATATATAAACAATTTATTTTATTAAATTTATTTGCTTAAAAGAAAATGTGCAAATTCTGGCAACAGCGCACAGCTCCAGATCGATGACGTGCATCGGGTTTTATTTGGTATCCACTATATTAACTTAGCACCTAGTTGTACGTGTTGCCTAAATGTCATGAGGCTTGTTATCAATCTTTGGCTCTGATGTGGTGTAAAATCTGCTTCTGAGATGGCATTACTGGAGGTCTAAGCTGCACATCCACTTTTTCTTATCCATTCTGGAAATTACGTATACAAATTTGCTGAATTTCAAAAATGAGAGGCATAAGAAATAATTTTATTCACCGTGCACTGTCGAATTACAAGCTATTTACATGCTAACAGTAATTACTCACAACGCGGTCGCGGTGATGATTTCCCGTAATTCTACTCAGTTTTTCGTAATTTATAACTTTGAACATAACCTCTCTTCAGAAAGCACAACATAAAAATAACCCATCGGCACAGCCAATAGATATACTTCATTGGCAGCTTATTCAGTAATGATTTTCTCACACAGCAAATATCACTGATTTTATACACATGCAGACCAATACACATAATCATCCAGATGCGATCCTGCTATTCAACCAACATTCTTCGCAGAGATAAAAACTACAGACAGAGGACCATTTGACCTCACGAAACTATGAAACCAATAATGCATGTAGTTTAGTTGAGTGATTCCTCCAACGATCCTAGCGAGCAAACGTGGAATGACTGTTTGCGCGATAAAAACTACCTAGTCTGCAAGTTGACATCTAATAGGTATCTTTGACGTTTTGTAGGTTTATTAGATGATACCCGTGTCGGGTTTGAAGCATATAAATGTGTACTCATACTCAAAGATTGAGAATTCCCAATTTTTAACCCCTACAAACTTTTTTCTGATAATGTTCAGAAGCCTCTAAATAGATTATCGTTTTTTATTTTTTCATTTTTCGTCCATAGGTCCATATCTGAACGACTTCGCTAGATCAACTTCCCTTAGAAAAGATCTGAGAGTGTCCAAGTGTCCAAAAACATTTGTGGTATTGTACAAAGCGCGCTACTTATTTAGCTTGGTCAAATCCTTGGCGGAGCTGCCGTGATAAATTTTAACTAATCAAACATCAGATAGTCTATGCTGTTCGTTTTTATGATCCCAGTGGCCAAACAGTTGATATTAATTACTCGAGTAATACAAATAATTACTAGAGTGAAAATTGAGAAATTGCCCTGCTATGTCAATAAGATCGTCATAAATGCGAAACTGCTGTAATATTCTGTGAATTGCCGATGCTGACAAACTATTCCAAACACATTTGAAAAATAAGAAGCAAAAATGTGTGGGTGTGCCGTTTGGCCAAGCTTTTTACTGCACCGCTGTTACATTAATCGGCTTATTTACGTGCTCGGTATTTTTTCCATAGACAATATAAGCGAACCACGCAGTATCAGGTAACCAAATAAGTTCGTGCGGTTTTTAGTAGAAAAATATAAATTTTTATTGAGAAACAATAAGACACTATTTATTCGTCGAACTAATTACCACCACATTCGATAACCTTTTGCCAAGGTGGAACCAATTTTTTTATGCCGGTATTGTAGAACTCCCTGGATTTGGAGTCAAAAAATTGGCGAACTGCATTTATTACACCATCTCGATTTGTGATCTGATGGTGCCTCATACAGTTGTCAAGAGACACAAAAGGTGATAATCACTGGGCGAAATGTCGAGAGAATATGGGCGTGGTAACGTTTTCCAGCCGAGTTCAGAAATTTTTTCTCTGATCACTTTTGCGGTATGAGGCAATGGGGTTATCCTGCAAGAATATCACTTTCTTCCGATTGATCAAAGAAGGTTGCTTATACTTGTTGAAGCTGCTCGCAATACAAGTCAGGAGTGATGGTTTGACTCCTTTCCAAAAACTCATAATGGACAATTCTAGTTGCTGTCCACCAAGCACACAACAAAACCTTGCTTGGGTGCAAGGAAGCCTTGTGCGTGTCTGGTACCCAATCAGTAGGCGACAACCAATGATACGAACGCTTAGAATTCGAATACAAGATCCATTTTTTATCGCAGGTTAATAACCGATTAAGAAATGGTTCATTAGCGTTGCGTGAAATGTTCGCTGAACAAATGGTAAGACGACTTAATTTGTTATCATTTGTCAGTTCAAGTGGGACCCATTTGCTTAAGTTCCACGTCTTTCCTAGCTGATGAAGATGCAAACGAATAGTTTCAGGACTTACTCTGAACATTTCTGCAAGTTCTTAGCACGTTGTCCTGGAATTTGCGTCCACAACCTGTCGGAGATCCTCGGTGTTCATGATTTATGGTCTCCCTGAGCGCGGTTCATCGCTCAAACTGAGATCTCCAGAAGAAAATTCCACTTCTGTGTTGTTCGATCACTAACGGCATCATCTCCGAATGCGGTACATATTTTTCGCGCCGCCGCTGCAGCTTTTGTACCAACTTTGTAGTCATACAGTAAACAACTTCGAATTACTGTTTTATTCGTCGTTATTTTCAATTATTAAAACAAGGTATGTAACAGTTTTTACCAACTTTTTATGTGTGTGAGAAAAGAAGGATTCATACTAAAGTGACAACAGGTAACAAACAATCGTTATCGATCAACAACATCCATGGCAATGTGCGATATGCAGCAACCGCATGAGCATATTTGGCTACCTGATACGACGATTGATGTGAGGTATTCGCATTCTGTTGGCTATCAAATCCAATGATAAGTAGAATATAAGTTAAAATCCTATTCAAATTTACGAAACCTATCTAGATCCGCTGATTTGATTTCAAATATACTGGCATAAGTAGACCCACTAATAACACTTTAGTCATCAATGAAGTTCCTAAGGTATCTGTGGACGTATTTCAATAATTTTTCTGAGATGAACAAATATTGATCTCGACTAATGCCTACACCACTGCTACGTACAGAAACGCATTCTTAAGGGTCGAAGACAGTGGTTAAAATAGCTCTTTTATAACTTACAGTTGATTAAGTGGGCACATGGGCATGTTTTATGGCGAGGCGATTCAGCTGTTTATCGTATTCGCGTGGACCTAAGGATCTGAACTGCGAGAACGTGGGAAGCGGCTGGTACTTTACAGGATGCCTTTATTCTGGAATTGCCGTCGTGGAAGCGATACGAGCTTGTACGCCAATGATTAACAGCATTGTCTTGGATAAAACGAACGGTTGAGCAGCATTTATCGCGACTGCTTAACATTTTTTTCGATACGGTTTACCAGTACGATAACGTTTTCTTTCTGGTAAAGGCTTTACCGAGCCGGAGATATCAACGCTGGACTACGAAAGAAGCCTCGCTCCAAACAGCCAGTTTTGTAGATTATGTTCGACTGATAGTGAAAATTATTTCATCATATGCAGCACATTTATTCAAGCTAAATAAAACGTCTAATTATAGTTAACGCTTTGCGATCACCCAACAGTATCAAAAGCTTCATAGTAAGCAGCGTATCCTTAATGATATGCGACTATTTAAGGCTGTGAATCTACATGAAAAATTCATGTTAGTCAGCGTTATGAACTATGGTCCAAAAATGTTTCCTTACAAAAACTCGGGGTGTTGAAGTTTTAGGAAAAAAATGGAAATTAATTAATATTTTCAGAACCGCTCCAGATATTTCACTGATATTTAGTACGTATTGAAAGTTAATGTAGTTGCATATTTTTCAATGCTTAAAAATTTTTAGCTTTAACAGTGGTTTGAGTACGGGTATTGACTTCGATATTTTTTAAGAAAAAACTGGTACGCCAATGGTTTTTTTTCCAAATAAAAATTATTTTATTCTTGAATTCCTCGTTCAATTTATAAAAAATGATCTCTCTTGAGTTGCTTTCCTTCGATGCGCCATTTTTGAGAAAAAAAAATAAAAACCGGTTCGTAATTATTTACAAACTGTTTATCCAAATCGTTTGATTGGCCGCGGTGGGCCCCAAGAATGGCCACCACGGTCTCCAGACCTCAACAGTTTAGATTTCTTTTTGTGGGGCTATCTTAAGACAGTAGGGTACACAAGTCCCATTAACGCTGTAGAGAAATTAAGAGAAAGAATAGTTGCAGCTTGTGATAGAATAAAAAACACTCCAGGGATATTTCAACGAGTGCGCAATTCCATGGGAAGACGGGCGGAAGCATGCATACTTTTTTTTATATCGAAACAGCCGCGCAGGCCAAAGCCTAAATGCCGGAACACCGCGGCTGCTATGATGATCCCAAAGAAATTTTGTTAATACGATTTTTGAACTGCCTAAGGTTAGCAGAACTGGGAAAAGCTTCCTCCCGTAGATTGTTCCACAATCTAGACACCCTCGGAACAAAGGAGCGGTCGTATCGGCCAGTTTCGGATGTACGAAGTTTGACACGGTTAGGATGGGACGCCGAAGTCAGGCGGGTCTGTCTGGCAGGCACATCGCGCGGCGGCATTATGGAAGAGAGCTCTGAGGAGCAAAGCCCGTTGGTGTAGCGATAGAAGAGAGCTAGATCGCCGACGGCCCGCCGGCGCCGGTGCGAAAGAGTCCCGAGACTGTCTATTAGAGAAGAGTCATCGATCAGTCGGACCGCCCTCCTCTGGACAGCATCGAGCATGGACAATGTAGTCGGGGCGGCAGCACCCCAAACGTGTGAGCAATACTCGAGGCTAGGCCTTATCTGGGCCTTGTATAGAGTGAGAAGGTCATGCGGAGAAAAGTACTTCTTAGCCCTAAACAAATAGCCTAGCTTTTTCCCAGCAGCTGCAGCTATTGAAGAGATGTGTTCGTGCCAGATCAGTTCCTCGGTGATCTGGACTCCGACCAGCCGAAATGAATGGCTCTTTGGTAGAACTCGACCGTCCATCGAAACTGTATGAGCGCTAGGACGCTTTTTGTTCGACAAAGTACAGTACTGTGTTTTGGAAGCATTGAACTGTACAAGATTGTTGCGTCCCCAAGCAGTGATAGCCTCCAGGTCTCTTGTCAGAGAAGAAGTCGTCGCTAGTCTTCTTTTTTCCAGCTCAGCGGCAGAGATCGGCTTGTCACTCCGAATTCCTGCATGTAGAGTGCTGTCATCAGCGAAGCTGTGGATTGAGTTGATCGTGCAGGAAAGGAGGTCGTTGATATGTAAGAGAAACAGTGTTGGAGCCAAGACCGATCCCTGGGGAACACCCGCGTTGACGTTGTGGGATGAAGAGGAGAATCCGTCAATTACGACGGATATCTTGCGGCCAGAGATAAAGTCAGCCACCCATCTGCAAAGCTTTTCTGGGAGGCCGTAGGATGGAAGTTTGCTTAAGAGGGCAGCGTCCAACAGCTGATCGAACGCTTTCGTGATGTCAAGAGCAACAACATGAGCCTCACCATGAGACTGGATGAGTTTACTCCACAGTTGCGTGACGTAAGCTAGGAGGTCCCCTGTGGATCGTTGGTGCCGGAAACCGTACTGCCTGTCGCTAATCAAGCTGTGACGTTCGAGGTAGTCTAGAAGCTCGCGATTTATGCACCTCTCCATCACTTTACTTATAACAGAAAGCAGAGCTATAGGCCTGTAGTTGTAAGGGTCGGTTTTAGATCCTTTTTTTGGGATGGGCTGTACATGAGCAAATTTCCAGTTTTCAGGGAAGGTGCCGGATTCATAAGATATCTGGAAGAGACGCGAAAGAACTGGAGCAAGCTCCGCTGCACATCTCTTCAGTACAATGGCAGGAATCATGTCCGGACCAGAAGCTTTGTTGATGTCGAGCGACAAGAGCACTCGTCTTACGGTCTTATGCCTGAATATTACCTCCCGCATAGTGTGGGGAACCCTTTGAATTGACGGCACTTGGGCGTTGGTGGGGACGTCCATGGTGGAGTTGGCAGCAAAGATCTTGGCTAGCACTTCCGCCTTGGCCTTTGAGTCGAATACAATAGTTCCATCCTGACACGTAAGTGGTGGAAGGCTACTGTGTGAGAAGTTCTTTTCAATCTGCTTGGCCAGCGTCCAGAAAGACCGACTGCCATTGCGCTGCGACATTACCCTGTGCCTAACTTTTATATCATGCTGGTTTTTGGCATTGCGTACCGCTTCGTTATATTTGTTTCTGGAGGCGACGTCGGCTTGTCTGTTCTCTACAGTGGGGTTTTGTAAGTAGGTTCTGTGGGCCTTGATCTTCTGCTGGCGAGCAGTGTCACACGATTTGTTGAACCAGCCGTTGGGCCCTGGTTTAGGAACTTTCACTGTGTGAGGGATGTATTCCTCCATTCCGACGTGAATAATTTCGGTTATTGAAGAACAAACAGTCGACGCATCCGCGTCAGTGAAACAGACATCTCTCCAAGGAAAGCTAGAGAAGAAGTCTCTGAGCCCCTCCCAGTCGGCATGTCCGTAATGCCAGGTTTTGCGGCCTGTGCGAGTTTCTGCTGCCACAGCGGCTTCTGACCGAAACCTAACCTCCACAACACCGTGATCTGAGTTACCCAGGGGGGATAGGACAGCAGTGCTGTAAGGGGCAGGATGCGTGGTCAGAAAGAGATCCAGCAGACTACTGGCGTGTGACGAGACGCGGGGGAAAAAAGTAGGGCTCGTCACCAGCTGGGTCAGCCCTTGAGTAAGAGCGAACACTTCGACTGCACGACCTGCTGCATCGGTCTTATTTGAGCCCAACCAAAGCTCATTATGGGCATTGAAATCACCGAGAAGAGCTACCTCTGAAGCGGGGTGATTGACGTTCAGGAAGTCGATCTGGACGGCGAGGTATTCGAGTAGGTCATCCCAGTTATGGTTCGAGGGAGAACGATAAAGGCAGCAAATAAATTTGGGTGATGTTTTGGAGTTGAGGCGAAGCCACAGAATGTCTTTCCGGTCTGATTCCAAAGAAAGATCCCTGGAGCAGGAAAGACTGCTGCGGACAAAAGCCACAACTCCCCCGTTCTTTCTCAGATTGGAGTGCACCTCGTAGTTTGGGAAGTTGAGATGGTTAATCGGTGCAGTCTCTGAGATTTTTGTCTCCGCCAAGAAAAGCACGGCGGGACGATTGGATTGCAGGTAGTGATGAACAGCATCAATGTTGCTGTTGATCCCGAAGATGTTCGAAAAACAAATTTTTACTACTGTGTGAAGGGGGCCATTTTCAACAATTTTTGTAATCATTTCGTTGGTTTTAGTGTCATGTTTATGTTGTCAGTTGTTGTTGTTCATTACCCCTAATGTGTTTAATTTTTCCGATTAAATTAATAATAATTTTGCAAGTTAGACAATAGAACGGTTTTTATTTTTTTACTCAAAAATGGCGCATCGAAGGTATGCGACTCGAACGAGGGTTTTAAATTAGACGGGGAATTCAAAAATAATATTTATTTGGCAAAAAATCATTGGCGTACCATTTTTTTCTTAAAAAATATTGAAGTCAATACCCGTACGCACGCCACTGTTAGAGCTAAACATTATTTTTGCATTGAAAAATATGCAGTTACATTAACTTTCACTACGTTCTGAATATCAGTAAAATATCTGAAGCGGTTCTGAAAATATTAATTAATTTCCATTTTTTTCATAAAACTTCAACACCCCGAGTTTTTGTAAGGAAACATTTTTGGACCATAGTTTTTAAAACAAACTAACATTAATTTTCCATGTAGATTTACACCCTTAAACATTCGCATATCATTAAGGAATGTACATGTTACAGTTAAAGCATACAATTTGTCAAACTACTCACCTTTGAATGTACGCATGGACGAGTTGATACATAAGTAGACTAGCTAAAAGCTAAAAAAAAAAGAAACGTGTAATTGAAGTCAGCGCTTCATGTCCGGTCGCCAATCGATATAAAAAACTTTTTGTTAAAGATGTGCTTGAAGCAGAATGTAATATTGCCATACTCTTGAGTATCGACTAGAATCTTTCGTACTCTGAGGAACGTCTGTTGATCCTTCAGGCTAGTATTCAGGAACGACCGAGTGCTACTGGGCCATGGCATTACCTCAAACGTCTCTTGTGCGATAAAGTTTACATTGGAAGGTCTCACGACGATCCCCTATGGAGATACAGGCCCGTAAAGGGTCATGGGCGCAGGATTTTTTCTTTGTAGGGAAGAGATAACTTTTTGTGAAAGTGTACCTGCCTCCAACACTTTTTGGAACTGAGACGGGAAAAACCCCAAAAAATGTATATAAAATCATGCTCAGTATGAACATCTTAACCCTTTACCGTATCATGTGCCATATATGACCCAAACTACAAAAATAAAAAAATATTGTCTCAAATTAAGTTGTATTCCTTTACTGCATACTATGCCATATTTGGAACGCACCCGCTTACACACAGCAAAACGCACACATCGATAGTAGTGCTCAATTACGAGTTATTTCGTGTCAGAGCCTGCCGCGCGCCATTTCTTGCTAGCAGCTGATGGATCCGTTTTGTTTGCAAGTTTTTTGTCTTCTAAAATTAGAAAATCCCCAAAATAAAATTATTGACATTACGGGTGAAGTGTAAACTATGTTATAAGGTAAGTTGTTTTTCATTTGATGTTAATTTAGGAAGTTATGTGTACGATTTTGTGCTTGTGCCATATATGGAACAATATGCAAATATACTTATATTGGTTGCTTTTATTTCCAGTTATGGGACCCAAAGAAATTTTATGGTACTCTACAATATGCAGCTGATATAGAGTCCGATGAGAGTGACGATCCAGATTTATCTGGCGACGATGCTGAAGGTGGTGTACATTCAAAAATACAAACCAACCAAAATGATCCAGATTCGGAGTCCGACTATTCATCTGATGATGATTTGCCCCTATCAGAAATTCAAAGACGAATATCGAAGAATATTGAATGGCACGAAGGTAATCTATTGAGACATTATATGCCATGAAAAAGAAACGTGGACCTACCAAAGAAATTCCTCAACAAGAGGTACGTCTTGATGGTATGGACCATTTACCAGAATGGAGTAAACAACAAAGATCAAGATGCAAGTTTCCATTGTGTCAATCTAAATCATTTGTGTCTTGTACGAAATGCAAAGTTTCCTTGTGTTTTAATAAAGAGCCAAATTGTTTTTTGAGGTTCCACACTGAATAAAGGACAATGTTGTTGCATAATGTTCCATATAATGTCACTTTCCATTTTTTTCAAAATAAATAAAGTACGGTATGTATTATACAAAATTTTTTTTGGTATTTTTTGCATAAATAAAGTATATTTCTCCATTCCTGGGATTTTTTTCGATGAAAACAAAAAATTCATGCAGTAAAGGGTTTTATAATCCAATTGGATGCTCAGGTGGTTTGGGCTACCACTCCCCTGTGTACAGCCATGTAAAGGACTATACGGAAATTCGGTTGTACTTGAATAACTTTTAAACGACACGGTAGAATTCAACAGAATTTTTATACCCCAGTAACGAGTTGTTTAGATCAACAGGGATAGAATAGCGCCAGCGCAACACTTCAAATTGTTTTATTGCATATAGAAACATAGTACGCCGCGCGGATCGAACGTCAGGACTGAATCTGAACCTCACTCTTTATTAAACTTAAATTCAAAGTTTCACAACAATACGTGCAGTGTTCTCACTAGAATGAATTTTTAAATGTCACAAAGTCGTTAGAAAAACGGAACATTTTCGCGCCATGATTTATTACAACATTCAGAGACAATTATCGCAACAAGAATGTCTTGCTGAGTTACTATCTGTACGTCGATGCTGAGCGCAAACTCATCATTGAAACAATTTACATGAAGAATTTGGACTAAGAAAATTAGTTTCTCGTTGGATACCCCACCTGTTGACTGAAGAGCAGACAGCAGCCAGAGTTAATTGGTGTCAAAAAACGCTAGACCGTTCCAATTCCGGAAACTCAAAAAATGTGTACAGCAGTATTAGTGGTGATCAATCGTGGATTCACTGTTACGAACCAGAAAATAAACGACAGTCAGCTGTTTGGATGTTCCAAGGTGAATAAAAGCCAACAAAGGTCATCCGTTCACGAAGTGTTTCAAAAAAGATGGTCGCGACATTTGTGTCAAAAGCGGGTCACATTGCAACAATTCCTCTTAATGAGCAAATAACTGTTACTGGGAATTGGTATACCACCATTGGTTTGCCAAAAGATATCACCGAGCTTCGAAAAATCAACCCCGAAAGAAGAATCATCCTCCACCAAGACAATGCAAGCTCGCACATAGCCCAAAAAACAAGGCAGTATTTAACGAAAAAAAACGTGGAATTATTCGACCATCCTCCATATAGTCCTAACGATTTCTTTACTTTCCCGAAAATTCAAAAATGCCGTTTTGGATCTGCCAGCAAACGAGTGGAATAAGTGCTTCGGAAATTGGTTCGAGCGCATGCAGATGTGCATTAATCTTCGTGGAGAATACTTGGAAAAACGATAAAGTCATTTAAAACTATAAGTCAACGCCAAACAAAGTGGCGTGCACGTCATCACGATAAAAATTCCCCGACCTAATGCCTAGGTTTCTATCACAAACAATTGCTCTATTGCAGTTTCATATTAATGTGATATATAAATTGTAAAATGGTCATTACTCTCTTATTATGGTTAATAGTCATATAAACATTGTTATTAAAATATCACATAAGTTGCTTTCTGATAAATTTAGACGCATTATGCGAAATAAAATGTTTTGCAAACGCTCCAATCGACATGTAAACGCACTAAACCGATTTCGCAGCGTTGACACATTGTCACCTTGAAACTTATTTAAACTGGGAACTGACATTTGTATTAATTTTGACACTGAATCAATTTGTGGCATTTCAAATCTTTATAAATCCTTTGGCCCCGCATACTGTAAATCAACAACTGTTTGTTTCAAAACAAAATTATTCATTTTACGAGTAGATAAAGACAATTTTGGTATATAAAGATGCCCAAACAGTTAAATAGGCGGTGTAAGGAACTCGTGGCCTCGTTAATGCACTACTTTGAGCAAGAAAGGGACAACAACGGGCCTTTGTTGCCTTTAAATGCTGTTCAAGAGGTAGGTTACTAATAATTATATGTAATGTATATTAATAATAGTGAAATTTTATTTCAATTTTTGTAGCGTGTTGCTGCTGCTTTAAAAATTAGTTTAAGGACAGTTAATCGTATTTCCGAGGGTGTGAAAAGTGATGCAAATTTAGAATCGCCCAAGAAAAAGCGGAGTTATATTAAACGTGTAACCAACACAGCGACATTGGATACAAGTGCCATTCGAGAAGTGATCTATAATATGTATCACAAAAGTAAGATCTTATTATAATAACTTATCAGAAATTTGCATTAATTTGTTAACTAAATTATAATGTCATATTACACATGGTTTCAGAAGAACAAGTTAGGATACAAACTTTATGGTCTCGATTAAGAGATAGGGCATTATTTGATGGTAGTGCCACGTCTTTAAGGCGGTTGCTTAGAGATCTTGGATTTAAGTGGCTTAAGGACAATCCGCGACGAGGGCTCATGGAACTACCAAGTATAGCTTTGAAAAGGGTGGAATTTCTAAGGCAATACAATCAAGCCAAGGTTGAGGCCTTATACCAGTTTGTCTTCCTCGATGAAACTTGGATATTTCAAAATGGGACCATAGGTCGCTCTTGGCAAAATGGAAACCAAAAAAGCGTGAAAGCTATTAAAACAGATGGTAAAAGGTATGTACTTTTACACAACTTGCACTATAAAATTTAAAACTAATATATTTTAGATACATTATATTACATGCTGGAAATGAAAATGGGTTTATTCGAAAACAAAATTGAGCGATTACCATGGAGAGATGAACCAGGACAATTTTTTGAAATGGTTTCAACATCAGTTATTAGAAAAATTGGAGAGTCCATCTATGATTATACTGGATAACGCCCCTTATCACAGCATGATATTGAACAAAGTGCCCAACAATGCATGGACAAAAAAAAATATCCAAGACTGGTTGACAAATCAAAACATACCATTTTTAAACACAATGTTTAAAACAGAGCTATTGAGTATTGTTGCTCGGTACATAATGCTTCTTAATTATATATATTTTGGTCGACAGTTTATATTTCTTTTGTTTATTCCTATTCTTAAAATAACTGCTTTTTTAGAGACAAACCACCTAAAATATACGTGATTGATGAATTGGCGGAACAACATGGGCACAAAGTTCTTCGTCTGCCTCCTTACCATTGTATATTTAACCCTATTGAGTTAATTTGGGGCATAGCAAAAGGTTACTATAACAGACATATTGGTAGAGATGGTAACAGTGAAAAAGACTGTTTGGATATGTGGAACGAGGCTCTACAAACGGTTACCCCAGACATGTGGAAAAATAGTGTTCGACATACTGAGCAAGAAATTTTTAAATGGTATGAAAGAGAACGAATTTTTGATCGACCAGACATCGAACCTTTAATAATCAACTTTGAGAGTGATGAAGATTTAGATTCAGACAGCGCTGAAGAAAGAAACTCCGACTAACTTTATTGTACAGAAAAAGCTTACACCAGTAGCTTACCTAATTTTAGAATGCATTTTTCTGTATGAATTCTGTAAAATAAATACCATGCATAAAATTTGGAGGACCCCATTTGGATTTTTATTCAGTACCTTTAAGCTATCAATTAAATATGGTAGTTTCATAGTGTCATCTGATCAATAATTGTCATACTTAATGATTATGCAAGTACAGATCTATAATTTTATTATACTATTATTTTTGTTCTCATTTGAGGTTAATATTGCTTATAAACCTAGATATGTAAATAATAAATTTTATTATTTTACAAAAAGTTTGGCAACAATGTAAATTTTTCAACACACCCACCTTGATGACGTGCACGCCACTTTGTTTGTCGTTGACTATACCTATCGTGTTGTTTTATTTCGATATGCAAAGCTTAGAAGACAGCCCTGAATAATTAATTAACGAAACTACCCTGCGAGAAATGTGCTTTTGCTTGACAACGATGCTACGATCGGTTTTCGTGCAAAACTCCCCTGCTTTTCATTACAGCTCTATCAATTTTGACACAGGATCTAGTATACTGGCTCAACCATTTTGGGAATAAAGCAATTCTGATAACACATTCGTAATCAACGATAAAAAAACAGGATATAAATTCAGCATTTGTTCAAGTTTAAGATATGTGGTCAGACTTTTCAAGGAACGACTGAGTGTAAGTTGATTGGAACAGTATTAAAACTAGACGGTTTTTCTTTCAGAAAACGTTCTTGTCAGCTGAAGCATTATTGGGTTTGGATAGTCCGTCCTAGCATTATAAATGAGTTAATTGTTTTGCATGAATATCATTAAGTAGGCCTCGACTGCTATCTGAGCTGTCAAAATTCTATTGAATTATACAACTTTTCAAGCAGCATTCTTGAGGAGGCTGTATTTTATTGAAAAATATGGCATTAGTTTGTGTGTTTTATATGCATACGATATTATGGTCTGGTTTTTATGTGACCTTGTATGTCCACTCCAGATTGATGTTCCTACTTGTCCGGAATTACTTGCTGAGAAGTATGCAGAGAAATATCCACATATCTCTGGACAAAAATCGACATTTTTAGAAATTTCACACGGACCTATAGCAGTTTTTTAGAAAAATGTTGACCGTTGAAAGCCTCCTCAAAGATATATCGTTACGCGAGAAGTTATTGGCAGTGATCTATTTCTTTCACACGTGTGTCTGTTTTGCGTATCTGATTTAACCAGCATTTTCAAATATTAATCAATTCTGATGATCAATTTGCGAATCAGGCTAAAAACAACCGACTAATAAAAACGTCAAGGAATGTGATGGATGAAGATACTCCACATGTGCTCATAATTGGTTATCATG